AAAAAAAAAAAAAAAAAAAAAAAAAGAAGAAGAAGAAGAAACAGCACAAAACAAGAAAACAAGTATTTATCGATACATAATGATAATTATGAAGGGGAGATTATGCTAACAATTATAATTACAAACGTCTCTCGCTGACTCTCTGAGTTAAATTCGAGTATCATTTGTCTTTTAAAGTCATCCATCAAACTTACCTGGTAAGGTTCGTAAAAGAAGTCTCTCGCTCCTTCCTTCAGGCCGGTAATCAAAGCAAACGGATTCCCTAATACATCAAGCCCCAGTACTAACACGTATAACTGCTTCAGTGCCTGAATTTAAAAAAAAAAAAGGCCGAAAGAATTAATCATTATTGTAATACTTACGATCCACTTATTTACCTGTCACAGTCAATTAAAGTTCGGTGAGCGGATGGTTGTTCTGGATTCTGTAACATGAAGCAAATAAGAGTATGTCTACCAATGCATGGATGACACTTTAATCAATACCAGCCCCCCACCCTTAGATTTCGTTACTTTCCCGTGAAGGTTCACCTGTACCCATCTATACAGATGGATTAAAGCACTGTAGGAGTAAAGTGTCTCGCCTTAGAACACATCAAAGTGACCTGGCCAGTGCATGAACCAAACTCCCTGACCCGGGGTCCCGTACGTCTCCCATCATAGAGTACTGAATAAATTCACCTGACTATAGTAATGCTTGATGGCGACTTCCATTAACTGCTGCTGCGTATAAACTTTGTCCTTTATTTCGAAATAAGCTAGCCTGTAAATACAACGTAAACGAAACTGTCTGCCAAGCTCCTCTATAACAGATAATAAATATGTGACAAATCATCAAGAGAGGATAGGTCACCAACCCCTAACCCTTTAACTCCCATGAATGACCAAGACAGAATTTCTCCTTACAATATCAATACAGTATCAACCAGATAAGTGATGAGAATAAAGAAATATATCAATTAGGGAATAATTAGTTGATCCAATTCTAAATTTCTGAACTAACATTATAAGAATTGTATGGTTGACAGTAAAGAGAATTACAAATCTGACCTAGGAGTTAAAAGGTTAAACAAACAGTTCACGTCAGTTCTATTCTCCTTTTTTTCCTAAGAACTAAATGCAAAGCCCAGAGCATTGGTAAGGTCTGTTCTTTCGCTTGTGATTCAAACATAACTCCACGACAAAAACAAATAAACGGTAATTGTCGACACATAATTTTTTCCCCTCCAGTTCACGTGATTTGGGCTTGTTTTCTGCTATAAGAAGTAGCTGTATATTTGGCTGCATAGCAAAAGGTGGAAGGTTTCCACACGAGGCGGGGCTAGTGCTTCGACCTACAATCTTTGTTATAACTCATGGAGCCAAGAACCGGCTCAAGTTTTTTTACCCTCTCTTATCTCCTTTAAGACAACATGGCAATCAAAGCAAAGACCTCATTTTGAGCCAGGTATTATTGTTGGCACCAAAAGGAAGGGAACACTTTTGACTGGGAACATAGCGTCACGATAGGAAACCACAAGTGTGAAGAGACATTATGACAAAATTATCGCACAAGTTTATGGCTGAAGAAAATGTTACCCACTTGAATTCTACATCTTGTACTTCAGTGACTGCTACCCCGACACTCTTGAGCAACAAGCTTACAAAACCGCCACCGATAGCTGACTGAGCCTTTTTGGCCTCAGCGCCGCCACCCAGCTGAGAAAAACTGACATGAATCTGCAGGAAAAATCAAAATCAATGTCTTCTCATTAGTCACGTGATCACATCACCATTCGGTTAAATGAACTAACTTGAGAGAATAACTACATATTTAGCCATCCAGGATAGCATTGTTTTCAACCTTGACTGATCATAACCAAAGATCGCGCAACACTACTTGAGGATATCAATTAATCGTCCTCCACTTCTTTCATGGGAAAGGAGATCAATTCGTGCTTAAAGAAATTTTCCATAGAATTTAAAAAGTACTCCACCATGGCAATGGCTGGACTTTTCTTCGTTCTGCAATTGGTCGAGAAAACTTGGGCCATCCCCTCAACCGATCAGATGCAACACCATGACCAATTGCGATGTCACTCCTATTTTCACGCCATCATAGCAATTTGCTTACTTATTAATTTGAGTTTCAGTGGGTACCTCGCGGTAATTTCCCTTTTTTTCTCATTGGAGGTGCTTTCTTTCGTTTGGTTTTATAATCTTCAATCGAAATGCGCCCTTCATGAAGTGAAATTAGATTGGGTTAGTAATCTAGAAATTTTACGCTAATTATATAAATTTCCTGTCTGCTGATGCGTCATTAACTCTTTAACTCCCAGAAGTGATCAACATGAGACTTCTCCCTATAATATCCTTACAATGAGAATATTGATCTTACACCAAATTCTCAAAACTAATTTACAGGGATATGTGAAGCAGCTAGAGGGGAGACTTAACAATCAGATCTTGAGAGTTAAAGGGTTAATTCAATATGATCACAGGGTCGGGTTAGAGGAGGACAACCGGAAACGATACCTTCAATGGTGATAGATGAAAGAAGTCGAAAAAGTTTCTGTCAGTACTTAGGGCAGCCTGGAGAGAAAAAAAAAAAAGATAAATAAGCGTGAATTTTTAAATGACTACAATATAAACAGGCATAATTTCAAGACCAGTGAATTACAGACCTGAACGGCAAACGCCTCTCCAAGCTTGTCATGAACCATTTTTTTGTCCAAAGCATACTGGCTGGACTGTGAAAACAAACGTTCGACCAATTCTAAGTATACTGCGTTTCTACCCTGAGATGCCTATTTAACAAGCTTCCAAAGATGAAGTAAAGATATTTTCGAAAATAATCCACGTTAATAATGGTTTTGCTTCCCCGAGGTGACTTCTTCCTGTGATTGGACTGGGGTTTTGGGGCCATTAAAGCTTCCATAGAAGCCTGCGCCCCATTACATCACGCAGATTTTATTTTGGCCTGTTACGCAACATTTCTAACTTCAATTAACATATTTTAGTTTTTTAACTCTTATTTTTTTTGTATAAACGATTTGATTTTCTTTTTTTTCTCAAAACTCTCGTGTTTTTTTCAATCCGTGATCCTATCCGGTCCGATCCGGTTCGATCCAGATTTTCTCTACGCCGACCTTTGCTTTGGTTTTATCGTACCATAGTGGATATGCAGCCCGATGCAGTAAACGCATGCGTGAGCTAAATGAATACCGATTAGAGCATCCTTACCTCTTGGCCTGTGTCAATAGTGTCAAACGAAAATAATCCAATACAGGCCATGATAAAGCCCATATCGACCTTTACGTCCATCTCTTGAATGAGAACCTTGAAGTACCTGAGTAAGAAGAACATGAGAAGTAGAGACCAGCAAACTGTTTAAATAAACCAGATGAATCATTGCTCTGAAATTTCAATGTTCTACATCAGTTCGGGTAAGCTAAATTCCGCGACAAAATAAATGACACATGACCACTTAGATAGATCGCAATATTCTGGAATAGCACATCAATGTTGTTCCTAGTCCCCTCGCTAACACCCTCCTCTCCCCCCCCCCCCCCCCTCCCTGTACATTGTTACACCGAATTGTCCGTGAATGGGGCAACGGTAAATTGCAGAGAAGTGTAGTTTATTTCAATGTTATTTCCTAGTAATTCTTGTTCAGTGAGATTAGTGAATGCTATGTGTCATTTCATTTTGTCGTGGATTGTAGACTAGTCAGAAGATCATAGTTTTGGAGTAAACTTTTTATTAAATACCATTTCCCAAACCACTCACTTGATCTCATTCACGTGCGTGTGCTCCTCTTGCTTTGCGACTAAACTCACTTCAATGTACGGCTTTGGTTCTAGAACACAATCGTAAAGATTACTGCAAGATATTTGGTTTTATCAACTGAGTTGGTAATGTAACTTCGGTACTGTACAGAGTTTCAAAGCTGACGTTTCGAGCGTTAGCCCTTCCTCGGAGCGAATTATTACTGATTACTG